GGCGCCGGTGGCTGCGCAGCGCCGCTTCCAAGTCGCGCACGGCTAGCTCGAAGTCCCCGCTGTAGTAGGCGGCCACGCCGCTGGCGTAGAGCAGGTCGAAGGGCTGCAGAGGCCCGGGCTCCAGCTCCGGAGGGCCGCCCCACAGCGGCGGCGGTAGCAGCAGCAGCGGCAGTAGCAGCGGCAGCGGCAGCGGCGCCCAGATGCGCTCCCGCATCCTCCGCCGCGGAGAGGCGCGGGACGGCCGCCGGTCTCAGTCGGCTCCCAGTCGGCTCCGGGCACCTGGCGTCCGGGCCCCGTCTCCCACCTCGGTGGGCGAGAGAGCCGGCCCCGCCGCTATCTGGCTGCCCTGCGAGCCTCAGGTGACCGCCGCGCTCCGCGCACTGAGAGGCGGAGGCCGGGTCGGCCGGCCACTCTTAAGGGGACGCCCACAGCTCACACGCTCCTCCTGCTGCCCGAGCCTCAGCGACCCGCTCGCTGGCGCTCAGCGCACGCCCTGCAGGCTCCAGCAGCCAGCCCGCAGCCGCCGGGATGCCAAGGGCTGCACACCCAAGTGCTGCACACCCAAGTGCCAGGCAGAGAGGGAACGCCGATTGAGGCCAACGGGGGGCGTAAAGCTTTACACGTGGGGTCTCTTCTAGGTTGCGGAATGGATATGATTACTCTCTTTTTAGGGAGGAAGAAAATTCGGCTTAGTGAAGTTAGGGCTCTAATCATTTTCTGGAATTGGTACATGACCTCGCACTTTGCAGAGTCCTTCACCTTCAGATGAAGCACTGAAGCTCAGGCTGTGAGGAAGGCACCAGAGGGCCAATTGGCCCAGTTGGGGAGGCTTGAGGAGAAAAGTGATTAGTCCAACTTTATAGAACTGCGAAAAGGCGAAGGAAGGACTCGACCCCGAGCCTTTGGAATCAAAGCTTACTGCTCCTTCCCGTGGGGAGGGTCCCTCCCTTGCCTTCTCATCCTGCTTTGTATGGGTGTGCGTCCGTGCATTGGAACAGGAGGTAGGGACAAGCAAGGAGCAATAAATAGCCCACCTTTCTGTGCAGACAGTGGTACTACGGAACCCGAGAACTGTTCGAGGAAGGAGCGGCTCTCCTTACATTCTGCCTCTGTCAGTTTACCAACGTGTGACCTTGCACAACTGAGACTCAGTTTCCTCATCTACACCGACGGAATGTTCCAACACGTCAAATGGTTTTTCAGATATAAATTCTTATTGTAAGAGTTGAACAAAGAGGCAGTTTAATAAATCCAGTACCCCCAGGACTTAAGCAAGAGCATCAATCTAGGAATGGGAAAGCTGACAGAAATGGCTGCCAGACTCCAAAGAACTAGCTGGAGGCTTTCCTGTTCCTCTGTTTCTCCTCTCTCATAAATACCTTCTGAGCCAAGGTGTTGCCTCTTCGCTGTTCCTGGCTCCACACCCTCACAGGGATTCCTGAGAGCTTATGCACTGGACCCTTTACTCCAGCCTGCCTCCTGGATTCCTGTGGTCTCCTAGTGCCTGGGGCAGTTTTCACCAAAGCCTCCCTGGCACTGAGATGGTGAGCGAGAAGAAAGGGGAATTGGGAAGAACTACATGTATCATCTGGTTGATATGAATTTCCCAATGAAGGCTTTTGTGTAGAATCACTACTGTGTCGAGGAGGCTGCCAGAGTTTCCCTCTTGTCTCTTCATTCATTTTGTTGAGTATGACCACTCTGACCATGAACAGGCCTGGCTGTTCTCTAAGGGACACCAAAGTATCATGCTCTTATTTTTCTTCACCAAACCTCACTCAGTTGGCTCATTCCACTGATGGAAAAGCTCCAGTTTAGAGCTGACTGTGTACTGAATGCCTTGGATGTTCAGTGTTCCAGAACTTGCACTTTGGGTCTCTGCCCAGATTTTTTCTCTAGGGATTGTCTCTGTTTTCAGATCAAGACTTTGGGGTCCAGAGTTATTAATCCACTCATGGAAGGTTTTGAAGCATACCAGGCTAGGAAGTCTTGCTATGGGACTGAGGACAAAGTGCCAAGATGCTGTGCTATATTCTGTGACATTTCCACATCATTTAATATATGTCAATTAAATTCTTATCTTTGGATGCTTACTCTCAAAGTAGGTATTCTTGGGGAAAGGGAAGATGAATAAGTTAGGGTCCTTATCCCCGGGATCTCACAATGTTGTATAGGAGAAAAACATGATGTACAGACTATAATACGAGGTAGAATGTGGTACATGTTAGACTAGATTCAAAATGCTATAGAAATCCAGAGCCTGCAAAGATGGCTTTCAGTGGAAGGATCTTGAAAACAGGGGAAGAATTGGCATTGACACAGAGTCATAGCTTACAGGCTGTAGCCACTCCAAACTTCCTACTGATCCCCAAACTGGCCATGTGCTTTCAAACCTTCTGCGTGTCCTACTACCTTATTTCCCTCTGTACAAACTCTACCTTCCTTTATAGAAAGCATTCAGTTGACACCTCAAATTTGCTTGAACATTGGAATCATCTAAAAAGGCAAAAATACTGATATCTGGCTCTCATGCAGAGAGATTCTGATTTAATTGGTCTGGGGTATGGCCTGAGCATTGAGATTTTTTAAAGTTCTCTAAGTGATTCTAATATAAAGCCAAGGTTGAGAACCACTGGTGTAGAGTCAATGCCATAGCCCAAAGGATAAGTCTATGAGTCAGGGCTCCAGGTGCTATGGCGGATTCATGAATCAGGTGTGCCATCCCTCAGATCTCCCCTCCCCAAGAAGGGCAACCTGATCTGCTGTTTAAGGCTGGATCAGAACAAAAGTTTGTCACCACATTATGATAAGAGCCATGCAGGGTGGAGAAGTTGATTTCAGGCAATGCTCTGCCCAATGGTATCAACTCTGTGTTGAGAGAGACAGTCCTCCATGGGTCTCTCATACTCCTGAACGTCTTGCTGGGTGTGCCAAAAATGCACTTCTTCTTTACCTGGGCCATTTCTTAGACAACTGGATCCCAGCTCAGAGTTTCTGATTCACTAAGTCTGGGGTGGAGCCCCAAAATGTGCATTTCTAACAAGTTCCTCGGTGACGCTGAGGCACTTGGTGCAAGAATCATACTTTGAGAACCACTTCATCAATACAATTCCTTATAAACAATGGTTCTCAAACTTTATTGTGTATCAAAAAACTAATAAAAACACAGAGGCCCTGGCTTTTGAAGTAGGATCAAGTCAAGGCCTTTATGTTTTTATCAAGTTCTCCTAGGGATTCTGATACTCACCAAAGTTTAAGAACCACTGCTTTAGTTAGTGGCTTCCCCAATGCCGAGAGACACCTGACAATGCCTAGAGACATTGTTAATTGTCATAACTGGAAGAGGGGAGTACAGACGTTCTCCTGGTATCTAATAGGTAGAAGCCAGGGATGGTGTCAGTCATCCCTCAGTGCACAGGTCAGCCTCCCACAACAAAGAATTATCCAGCCTAAAGTATCAACAGCCCCCAAGTTGAGGAACCTTGCCATAGAACATAGTTTGAGCACTGCAAGTCTTGTGCAATTCCCTTATTTTACAAATGAGGAAATTTAGGCCCACAGCTCACATAGATAGGCAGTGGCAGGAATAGTATACTTAATGTTATACATCAAAATATAAAGCATGTGTGCTAAATATCATGGAGCACTGGGTGATAGTAGCTTTGTGAATTCTTTTAAAAGAGAAAGAAAACAAAAATGCATGAAAGTAGGGAAGAAAGAAATGATGATTAGAAAGAAGAAGACATTGGAAGCAATGTCTTCATTGCTTCCAATTCAAAGATGTTGAAATGTCTGCTAAGATAGGTATGAAGTGGGAGCCTGCAATTTCGCTTTTGTTCTCCATTCCTTACAAATACAGAGAACAGCCAAAGCACAAGAGAATCCAAAAGTTTTAAAAGACATTCAATCCCTTCTTTTTTTGTTATATTTGGAATGAATCATAACAGAAGCTTGAATTTCCTTTTGACTTCTGTTTACAAGTCAACAGCATCATTGTACCCACTTGCCTTAGGGAACGTCCAGCAGGAAAGAATTCAGAGAAGAGAAGATCTTCAAATGCTGCTTATTTTCGCCAAATCAGCTTAGTTTTTTTTAAAGGTGACTACTCTCTTTCCTGCAAAATCCTTATGGAACAATAAAAAGGGTACTCAGACTTCAGCTGTAGACTTAATCGACACTTTTCATCAGCAAATCTACTGTTAGTTTATTTTGATTATGTGTATCCAGGGCTCTTGCTTGCCCCAGACAGCTTTGATTCCTTTGAAATGAAAGGAATAATTCTCACTGTGCAACAGCCCAACCCTGTTCAGCTGCTGTTGATGCTGGCGACAAGGGAGCTGTTTTGAAGCCTTTTTTTGTTACGCAAATAGGATCATCTGAAGACTTTTTTTCCTCCCAATAAATTAGTGTGAAAGGCAAGCCATCAACAATCTGTCAACATAAGAGAGAGAGAGAAAAAGGACTCCCTGGAGGAAGAGGGTTTTTTTAGAAAAATTAATATTTAACTTACATTTAAAATAAAACAGGAGCTGCCACATTCCAGAGCTGTCTGCTCCTTTCCAATTTCCTTAATAGCTCTGCCCTTGTGCTTACCTTAATTCCTTATTGAGCTTTCAAATTCCAAATCAAACAAAACTCTGCAAACACTCTGTCCCCACACCCCTGTCATGGAGGCATGCTAACGTCATTCTTTGGGAGACTCACATTTTAGCTGAACAAGAAAAAAGTGAAATAAAAATAATGCTATTTATTTCCGAAATAATTTAAGCTAAAAACACTATTCAGATTGAAATCCAGAGAAGTGAGGATATCTTATGTGCTGGGTATTAGGCCAGCTTTTTTTTTTTATAAACATTTAGTTATTTAACTTGCAAGGGTGTCTTTGAGAAAAGTGTTAGTATTGTAATTTCACCAGTGAGAAAGCCAAGGCTTATAAAAGAGAAATGACTTGCCAAAGTCCAGTTAGCAAATTACAGGGCCAGGACTGAAGCCTATTTTGATCTTTCCCCATTGCACTAGACCACCTCTTCTAGGCTTACACTGTCTTCATAGCTCCTATCAAAATTCTGCTTTGGTTAAATATATACAGACCACATTTTTTCTTTAGTCACTGACTTTGTTTTATGTCCCTCATTCTGCCAGAGTCACAGACTCATAAAAATTTTTTGCAGAATAAATATGGTCAAGGTGTGTGTGTGTGTGTATGTGTGTGTAAAACCATATGTATTGAGCAGAGTCTAATATGACTGTGAACTCAACTTGATAGGTGACGTAATGCATGTAGAAATAGTCATGATCATGAGAGTAGATAGGTCTTAATTCCTTCCTACATAAGAGATGCCAGATCACTGTGGATGGATGCAAAGAAAAACCTTACCTATCAGAAATTCTGGGAGAGGAAATTTCTCTGTATGCATGGATGATCCAT